AATCATTGCTTTCATTAGCTGAAATAACGCTAGCCGATATGTTTACTTCTATATTTACTTTTTTTCCCCCTCCTCATACATGTGATTTACAGCGACAGTTTCACTGTAGCCACATTCGTAGATTGAGATGTTGGCATGATGTCTAATTAGTTGGCTGCTTTCGAGTTTGGTTTCGCACACTGTGTAGGTGGAGTATGTGTATTGTTCTGATTGTGTGTGTTGTCTTCGTTCTTTGTCGTTGTTGAAAGGGGCACAAAATCATAATCCTTACATGAAGGCAAGAACAAAGAAGACAAACATATAAACATATAGAAACAATGCATGCTACAAGCGACTAACCAACATTAACCAGATGTGTCGGTCTATGGTCATTGATTTAATACACATCTACGTGTTACTCATCTTTATGAAATCGCTATAATCAATAACTCATATTTTTTGTCAAAAAAAAATTAAAAACGTAACAAGTAGCACTACACTTAACGAAAAACAAGTAATTAAAAAAAGTCTAGTGACAATTTTAGCGCAATTTCCTTGTGTTATCTAAAAATAGCTCTGTCGTAGCGTAAATCAAGAGCAGGGTTAGTAAAACCATTGGTTAGTTATTAAAACATTTTTATTAATTTTTTTTCAGTATTTTACATGTTTTATTTACAATAGAGTAACATGACTAAAAACCATTGCGCGCCCAGCTACCGAACGTGACGTCGCAGAAATTGAACGTGATGGCGCAGCTATTGAACGTGATGACGCGTGTGGTGTGGTTGCATAAAATGCCTACTAATTCGGTCCAAATTTTAATTAATTCAAAAAATTTTTTGTGACCGAACGAAAGGATATTTTTTAAAACTTTCTTCGGCAATATTGTTCTAAATTATGGCAGGAATCGATTGGTACATGTTTCAAGTCGCTAAGTGGTCTGGTTGCCGAGATATGGGCCAAAAACTGCTTTTATTCGAGTTTTTTTGGCTTTTCCGGGAAATCCATGAAAGAAACCCGTAATTTTTATGGCCTATGTTCATCCTCGTAACTTGCTTAACATAATTGCTTTTGGAACTAGTCATCGATATTGCTTCGTCGAGGAGGAGATACGACTTAAAGCTGCGGACACACATCCATCCATCCATCCATCCATTCATTCATACATCCAGAAATGACGGGTTAATAAACGCAATTCTCCAGAATGGAAATTGCGCTAAAAAGTATTACAATATACATTGCTGTTTAAAAAATGGAAGTAGACTCAAACATTCTAATTGTCTTTCTTATATCAAGCGTTATATTGTTTTTAATTTAATTTTATTTTTTTGAACGAAAATGTTTCATAAAACGGTTTTAAATAGTGTGTATCCATAAATATTTGTATATGTCTTAGTCACTTCCCATTTTAAGTTACACTTTGACTAAGGGAAATAATTTACAATGCAGTAAATACAAGTAAAAAATATTTAATAAAACGGAATATTTACAAAAGACCTTAACATTTCATGCACAATTTTAGAAGAGTATTTTTTTCCTTGCAATCATATCGTCAAAAATGAATATGGTATATCGTAACCTATTATAATGCGATTCAAGTTTAAGTAGAAACTATTAGCGTTACTATGTAATGTATTTAAAGACTTTTGAAAACTTCCGATTTAATTCAATCCGTTGCAATTATTGCACTCTTCGTACTTAAGTTGTTTCCCTACATAGAAAATGCTTCACTGTCCCATTGACCCTCTCTGAAAAATTTCCTTTCCTCTCCCCACCCAGACTTCTGACACTTTCATTTGACCATCACCCCTTTTACTGTCATCCTTTGAAATTTTTTTATAATCGATTACATGACATCATGTAAATATTCATTATGTACATTTGCAAAACCTTTCGTTTTCATATGGTGTTCAAAATTATGTTAAAAAATTTCATGTTGATGTACTTATTTTAATTGCAAATAAAAGTATTTAAAAAAAAAAAAAAAATATATATATATATATAGATTTGCATGTACATGACGTTGATAGAGAGCATGGGAAAATGGGCTCTATGGTGTAATCATTTCAAAATTTACTTTGTTTTATGTCTTTAAAAAATAGATTTTTTCTTAAAAAAAAAAAAAAAAAAAAAAAAAAAAAAAAAAAATGTAACTAAAATATATAAAATCATCATATAGGCCAGGGGTCGGCAACCTGCGGCTCGCGAGCCGCATGCGGCTCTTTTGATGTCAAGGTGCGGCTCTTCAGCTCCATGCACAAATATTAATAATTATTTTATTTTATTCTTGAAACTCATAAAAATATTAGTCTGCAACACTCGGTGATGAGCGATATAATAACAACTATAAACATTAAACACTCGCTATTCTATTTGCGAATTTGACATTTTATTTTCGCAAATATCATCATCCGATCTCCATTAAACTTTAGGAAGCTGTCGAGAATACTCATGGAGAGATATATGTGTATAGTAATGAATAAAAGACAAACAGACACACACATACACATACTACATATATCCGCGCATTGGCCAATATCGCCTCCCATAGGTCGGTCAAAGTCCGAAACTTTGCTTGATTTCGGCCTTTGGCCGGCCAATCCGCGGACTGGCCATGGTGGACCGGCCAAAGTCTTAATTAGAAGATCATCTGGCTAGGGACGACCGGCCAAAGTCCGAATTAGAAGAGCATGAAATTATTAAATCTTTATTGATTATTAATTAAAGTAAATGACAGAAAAATTCAAATTTTTTATTGTACTATAGTCTCAATCTATCAATATCATCATTTGTTACAACAAGTTGAACTTTTATGGCATTTAGAATTACATAGCAGCTTGTTATTTTTACACTTGCAGCGATTTGTTGTGCACTTAGTTGTGCAATTGCAGCGAGTGTAGCCTTGGCCTCCAGTTAATGATTGTGAAGATGCGATGGTTCGTAGTGATTTTTCCTCAGTGCCAACTGACGACAATAAGAGCAGTTTTTCGTGAAGAATTGAAAACTCACTTTTAGCATACAGTTGTTTTAGAACACCATGTTCCGTTCCTAATTTGTAGAAACCGCCCTCGACGCTCATGACAACTGCAATCATGCTTCGGAGATCACCGTAACCTCTGTCAACATCTGGAAAACGGATGCGTACATTGTCACCCACTTCACCATCTTTAAATTTTGTATTTGATGTTTTAATCATCTTAGCACCTTGAGTTTGCAATCCAGTATGAGCTGCTGATCTGTGTTCCATGATGTCTTGTTTGTTGTGACACAATCTGCAGGTAATGTTCCCTCCGTACCCTTCGTCTGCTTCATTGGGTATTCCACAAATAGCACGAACATCGTTGCCACAGGATCCAAAAGAATGAGCTGCACTACATTTTTTTTCACAAACTATACAGAATCTGTTGGCCACATTATTGTCACGCAACTGGTCTGGGCGTTCCGCCACGGCAGTAGATGTGTTAGCTGAGGATGTCGTTGCATTTATGGCAACCTCCATTTCTTGTTCAATGTTCTCAAGATCTTCCTCAATAACTATTTTATCGAGAGCCCATATATGGAAACTAACATGGATTTACATTTTTTTTTTCTTTTGACAGCCATCTGCTATGTCTGTCTCATGGTCTGACGGCCCTTTTGATCCATGTTGCCTTGCATATAGAATGCTATACAAACAAGAGCTAAACAATACGTTACTCTAAATGAAAACGCACCCAGAATAATGAAAATGCGATCACAACTTAGTCTAGATAGAACATTGGCCAGGACATACCAGCCAGTACGCGCATTGGCCGATCAATGTAAAAAATACGCTGTCAAGTTTAAGCGCTTCGGACTTTGGCCAGTACGTCCTTGCGCGCATTGGCCGGCCACTGTACGAAATACGATCTTAGTGCTAAGTTTTTCGGGCTTTGGCCAAGAGAGCCGGCGAATGCGTGGATTGGCCGGCCAATCCGCGCTTTGGCCGCACTTCGGGCTTTGAACGTAACATATATAAATATATATATATATATATATATATATATATATATATATATATATATATATATATATATATTTATATATATATATATATATATATATATATATATATATATATATATATATATATATATATATATATATATATATATATATTATATATATATATATATATATATATATATATATATATATATATATATATATATATATATATATATATATATATAAACCTAATCCTAATCAAAGATCATAATATTAAAATATTAGTGGCTCTTTAAAAGCTTGGAAATTTTGGAAATTGTAACTTTTGGCTCTTCTGTCTGAAAAGGTTGCCGACCCCTGGTCAGGCCTATTACACTTTGCCCTTACACGAAAGACCGAGGAGCCAAATTATACATAACCTTTGAATAAAAATTACACTTTTAACTTTGAACTATAGATTAATTTTAATTCATATATATCAAACCACTTTGAGTTTATGTAATATTCTTACAAAGAACATTTATGCAAGTCGGTGGGTGGTGTGTTGGTGGGTGGTGAGTTGGTGGGTGGTGAGTTGGTGGGTGGTGAGTTGGTGGATGGTGAGTGGTGAGTTGGTGGGTGGTGTGTTGGTGGGTGGTGAGTTGGTGGGTGGTGAGTTGGTGGATGGTGAGTGGTGAGTTGGTGGGTGGTGAGTTGGTGGGTGGTGTGTTGGTGGGTGGTGAGTTGGTGGGTGGTGAGTTGGTGGGTGGTGAGTTGGTGGATGGTGAGTGGTGAGTTGGTGGGTGGGTGGTGAGTTGGTGGGTGGTGAGTTGGTGGATGGTGAGTGGTGAGTTGGTGGGTGGTAATTCGGTGGGTGGTGATTTGGTGGATGGTGAGTTGGTGGGTGGTAAGTTGGTGGTTGGTGGTAATTTGGTGGGTGGAAATTTGGTGAGTGGTGAGTTGGTGGGTGGTAATTCGGTGGGTGGAAATTTGGTGGGTGGTGAGTTGGTGGGTGGTGATTTTGTGGGTGGTGAGTTGGTGGGTGGTAATTCGGTGGGTGGTGATTTGGTGGGTGGTGAGTTGGTGGGTGGTGAGTTGGTGGGTGGTGAGTTGGTGGGTGGTGAGTCGGTGGGTGGTGAGTTGGTGGGTGGTGAGTTGGTGGGTGGTGAGTTGGTCGGTGGTGAGTCGGTGGGTGGTGTGTTGGTGTGTTGTGAGTTGGTGGGTGGTGAGTTGGTAGGTGGTGAGTTGGTGGGTGGTGAGTCGGTGGGTGGTGTGTTGGTGTGTTGTGAGTTGGTGGGTGGTGAATCGGTGGGTGGTGTGTTAGTGGGTGGTGAGTTGGTGGGTGGTGAGTTGGTGGGTGGTGTGTTGGTGTGTTGTGAGTTGGTGGGTGGTGAGTTGTTGAGTTCGTTGGTGGTGTGTTGGTGGGTGGTGTGTTGGTGGGTGGTGTGTTGGTGGGTGGTGAGTTGGTGGGTGGTGAGTGGTGAGTTGGTGGGTGCTAATTCGGTGGGTGGAAATTTGGTGGGTGGTGAGTTGGTGGGTGGTGATTTGGTGGGTGGTGATTTGGTGGGTGGTGATTTGGTGGGTGGTGAGTTGGTGGGTGGTAATTCGGTGGGTGGTAATTTGGTGGTTGGTGAGTTGGTGGGTGGTGATTTGGTGGGTGGTGATTTTGTGGGTGGTGAGTTGGTGGGTGGTGAGTTGATGGGTGGTGAGTTGGTGGGTGGCGAGTTGGTGGGTGGTGAGTTGGTGGGTGGTGAGTTGTTGGGTGGTGATTTGGTGGGTGGTAATTTGGTGGGTAGTGATTTGGTGGGTGGTGATTTGGTGGGTGGTGATTTGGTGGGTGGTGATTTGGTGGGTGGTGAGTTGGTGGGTGGTGAGTTGGTGGGTGGTGAGTTGGTGGGTGGTGAGTTGGTGGGTGGCGAGTTGGTGGGTGGTGAGTTGTTGAGTTCGTTGGTGGTGGGAGGTGAGTTGGTGGGTGGTTACTTGGTGGGTGGTAAGTTGGTGGGTGGTGAGTTGGTGGGTGGTGAGTTGGTGGGTGGTGAGTTGGTGGGTGGTGAGTTGGTGGGTGGTGAGTTGGTGGGTGGTGAGTTATGGGGCGTGAGTTGGTATGTGGTGAGTTGGTGGGTGGCGAGGTGGTGGGTGGTGAGTTGTTGAGTTCGCTGGTGGTGGGTGGTGAGTTGGTGGGTGGTGAGTTGGTGGGTGGTGAGTTGGTGGGTGGCGAGTTGGTGGGCGGTGAGTTGTTGAGTTCGTTGGTGGTGGGTGGTGAGTTGGTGGGTGGTGAGTTGGTGGGTGGTGAGTTGGTGGGTGGTGAGTTGGTGGGTGGTGAGTTGGTGGGTGGTGAGTTGGTGGGTGGTGAGTTGGTGGGTGGTGAGTTGGTGGGTGGTGAGTTGGTGGGTAGTGAGTTGGTGGGTGGTGAGTTGGTGGGTGGTGAGTTGGTGGGTGGTGAGTTGGTGGGTGGCGAGTTGGTGGGTGGCGAGTTGGTGGGTGGCGAGTTGGTGGGTGGTGAGTTGGTGGGTGGTGAGTTGGTGGGTGGTGAGTTGGTGGGTGGTGAGTTGGTGGGTAACGAGTTAATGGGTGGTGAGTTGTTGAGTTCGTTGGTGGTGGGTGGTGAGTTGGTGGGTGGTGAGTTGGTGGGTGGTGAGTTGGTGGGTGGTGAGTTGGTGGGTGGCGAGTTGGTGGGTGGTGAGTTGTTGAGTTCGTTGGTGGTGGGTGGTGAGTTGGTGGGTGGTGAGTTGGTGGGTGGTGAGTTGGTGGGTGGTGAGTTGGTGGGTGGCGAGTTGGTGGGTGGTGAGTTGTTGAGTTCGTTGGTGGTGGGTGGTGAGTTGGTGGGTGGTGAGTTGGTGGGTGGTGAGTTGGTGGGTGGTGAGTTGGTGGGTGGTGAGTTGGTGGGTGGTGAGTTGTTGAGTTCATTGGTGGTGGGTGGTGAGTTGGTGGGTGGTGAGTTGGTGGGTTGCGAGTTGGTGGGTGGTGAGTTGTTGAGTTCGTTGGTTGTGGGTGGTGAGTTGGTGGGTGGTGAGTTGGTGGGTGGTGAGTTGGTGGGTGGTTACTTGGTGGGTGGTGATTTGGTGGGTGGTGAGTTGGTGGGTGGTGAGTTGGTGGGTGGTGAGTTGGTGGGTGGTGAGTTGGTGGGTGGTTACTTGGTGGGTGGTGAGTTGGTGGGTGGTGAGTTGGTGGGTGGTGAGTTGGTGTGTGGTGATTTGGTGGGTGGTGAGTTGGTGGGTGGTGAGTTGGTGGGTGGTGAGTTGGTGGGTGGTGAGTCGGTGGGTGGTGTGTTGGTGTGTTGTGAGTTGGTGGGTGGTGAGTCGGTGGGTGGTGTGTTGGTGGGTGGTGTGTTGGTGGGTGGTGAGTTGGTGGGTGGTGAGTTGGTGGTTGGTGAGTCGGTGGGTGGTGAGTCGGTGGGTGGTGTGTTGGTGGGTGGTGTGTTGGTGGGTGGTGTGTTGGTGGGTGGTGAGTTGGTGTGTTGTGAGTTGGTGGTTGGTGAGTTGGTGGGTGGTGAGTTGGTGGGTGGTGAGTCGGTGGGTGGTGTGTTGGTGGGTGGTGTGTTGGTGGGTGGTGTGTTGGTGGGTGGTGAGTTGGTGGGTGGTGAGTGGTGAGTTGGTGGGTGCTAATTCGGTGGGTGGAAATTTGGTGGGTGGTGAGTTGGTGGGTGGTGATTCGGTGGGTGGTGATTTGGTGGGTGGTTTTTTGGTGGGTGGTGAGTTGGTGGGTGGTAATTCGGTGGGTGGTAATTTGGTGGGTGGTGAGTTGGTGGGTGGTGATTTGGTGGGTGGTGATTTGGTGGGTGGTGAGTTGGTGGGTGGTGAGTTGGTGGGTGGTGAGTTGGTGGGTGGTGAGTTGTTGAGTTCGTTGGTGGTGGGTGGTGAGTTGGTGGGTGGTTACTTGGTGGATGGTGAGTTGGTGGGTGGTGAGTTGGTGGGTGGTGAGTTGGTGGGTGGTGAGTTGGTGGGTGGTGAGTTGGTGGGTGGTGAGTTGGTGGGTGGTGAGTTGGTGGGTGGTGAGTTGGTGGGTGGTGAGTTGGTGGGTGGTGAGTTGGTGGGTGGCGAGTTGGTGGGTGGTGAGTTGGTGGGTGTCGAGTTGGTGGGTGGTGAGTTGGTGGGTGGTGAGTTGTTGGGTGGTGAGTTGGTGGGTGGTGATTTGGTGGGTGGTGAGTTGGTGGATGGTGAGTGGTGAGTTGGTGGGTGGTAATTCGGTGGGTGGTAATTTGGTGGGTGGTGAGTTGGTGGGTGGTGAGTTGGTGGGTGGTGAGTTGGTGGGTGGTGATTTGGTGGGTGGTGAGTTGGTGGATGGTGAGTGGTGAGTTGGTGGGTGGTAATTCGGTGGGTGGTTACTTGGTGGGTGGTGAGTTGGTGGGTGGTGAGTTGGTGGGTGGTGAGTTGGTGAGTGGTTAGTTGGTGGATGGCGAGTAAAATTTCGTGGTGAGTTCGTTGGTGGTTAGTTGATGGGTGGTTGTACAGCATTTCAAACTTTCACGCACACTCACGCACACTCACACACAAGCACACACTAAAAACATTGAATAATGCAAACACTATTCCAGCATATGGCGATAAAATGTTCTACTCAAACCTTGAATGACAGTGATGAAACAGCACGCTCTGCTACTTCGTCAACCAGAAAAAAAAAGAATTTGTTTAATACACTTAAAATGTACATTGTTTTACATAGTTCCTTTTAAAAATATATATGTAATTAAATTATTTTAAATACTAGACGTCTTCATGTTGCCTTAGGTCACGAAAAGCCATTCCCCTTACCCCACCACTAAGTCTGTGTAGTGAAGAGGGGAGTGTATGTACAACTAAAACAAGAGCAGCCTAAGTTCAGCAACTCTGTCTTCACTAATTTGTTAAATAATGTATTCTTTCCCTTGCAGTGACAGCGCATTCTTTAATTTAAACTTCGTGCCGGATTTTAATGAAACGTATAAAGTGCAACCTGTTTAATACTACACCGTGATAGCAGATTACATGTAGCATACCCAGATACTGAGGTTAGCATCTGTCCCTTACAGAGAACGGGGGGGGGGAGGTCACGGAGCAACCCCACCGCCCCAGGGAAAAATTTAACGAATATGTAATTTATATATAATCTACTGAACGATGTGGCCTAGAGGTAGAGTGCTAAACTGCTAATCAGAAAGTCCCGAGTTCAAGTCAGTAAAGCGTCGTTGAGTCCACCCAGCTCTGATGGGTACCTAACTCAAGTTAGGGAAAATAAAGACGGCTGGGCATAGTGCTGACCCCACTATCCCTTCATATGCCGAGGTCACAGAAACAGGTGAACTCTACTCCACTTGCCCATGGACCGTCAAGTTCGGAAAGGGAACAATAGTTTTATATGTAAGATTTATTTTCACCACCACTCCCGCCCCCCCTCCCTTTGCCTTCAGAGATAAATAACTGATAGAAATACTAGACCCCGGGCTAATGAGGTAACTGTACACGTGTTGGGCAATGCATTTTAAATTAAATATAAATGTATAGCTTGTCTTATTCATCGCCTACCACTACACACACCCTCTCCCCCTAGAACCCATCTCAACAACATACACCCCTCAAAAATAAAATATTTAAAAATAATTACTTCTTAACAAAACAAGTTCATTTAAAATAAAAATATAAATGTATGGCTGTGTCATTTATTGCCTGCCACTAAGCCCCCCCCCCCCCCCCCACTCCCTCATCCATCATCACAACATACACCCCATTAAAAAAATTAAAATGCTAACATTCATTAAAAAAACAATTTCATTTAAAATAAAAATATAAATGTATGGCATGTCTCATTTATTACCTAACGAACCCACCACCTAACACCGAAACACACATTTTAACGTTAAATAGGTTGTGTGGATATGATTGCTTAAAATAGTGTCTATTCCCTATGTAATTAATGTTATATTAATTTAGTTTACCTGAAGGTAATTAATAATTGTGATTTTTTTTTTTCGATTTTCTTAATTTGTTTTTCTTGGGGTAGCTTTGTTGGATATATTTTTTAATTACTACCATTTTATTGATTAGGCTTCTTAAGTAGTTTTGATAATGTTGATTTAACGACTTATTTTTTTAAAAATGGGATTACCTCTATGAGTTCCTAGTTTCGATAATACGGAAAAAGCTAGTTTATAAACGCGATTGCTGCTGAATAAATAATGAGTGAACACAAAGAAAAATTGACCAAATTTAATTAATAGCGTGCTTAAATTTAAGTTTGCTAACGGGCAATACGACCGAAGCATAGATCCCGGCAACTAGTAAAAGAATATGTTTCAACACAAAAAGTATTTAATTAATTACTCCTCTATTGTACGCCATCGTCGATATAGATAATTAACGCCTTGGGGTGACGTAATAAAAGATCTACGGCAACTTAAGGAATTCTCCATTTACTAGTCAGTCTTTGGCCAGCGCTCATTGGTCAGTTCTTGTCAGCTGATATTAGTACAAGACATTTTGGTTTTTTGTTTGGTAGAGGGTTTCGTAGCACTAACTAAAGAATGGCAAAATTACAAAGGAAAGGCAAAAGGCTCTTAGTGATAATAATAATCGTACATTGTTTTGCAGGTGAGTATAAAAGAAACCACATTTTATTCTTTGACACATCCTTTATACATAAATTATATATATGTATATATATATATATATATATATATATATATATATATATATATATATATATATATATGTATGTATATATATATATGTATAGATAGATAGATAGATAGAAAGGTAGATAGATAGATTATATATATAAAAGACTACTCATTTTTTTTATTTCGCATATCCTTTATAATATATACTTTAAAATATACAAGTTTGAGAGTGTCTGCTGACGCGTATTATTTATACTAAGTTAATTGCCAAATTTATCTGATTCTAGTTGTCTGTATGGAGAGCAAAACCAAGTCTTCTAAGACAAATGCGACATCCGGAAATGCGTCGTACACAGAGAAAGTGCCCGACATTATACAGCCTAAAGCACAAGATGCTAGAAGTGGAATAATCCGAGACACGAACAGTTCTCAGTGTTTATCCGAACAACATGATCACCAAAATTGTACTGTGGGTAAAATTGAGAAATGTCGTACTGATGAGGTGTGTCTGTTTTATGCAGATTGTTGCTCAAGTTATAGACAAGTTAAATATGATGCCAGTGAGGTGGAGCGCCTGTCTTTGATCGTGAGCGAAACGAGATCCTACTCGCGAATTGTGCACGTGTATGAGCAGTACCGCTGGTTCAAGTTGATGACGTGTGAGTTAATGTCGACCACCCACATGGTGACGCAATGCAGCGAAGACGATGACGTCATTGTAAAGGCTAACCACGTGATTAACATGCTCAACCAGCCATCTGAGAATGGCAGTTTGTATTTCGGACTGTCACTGCCAGATGTCACGTCACGATGTCATGGTGTCACCTCTCTGACAGATCTGAGCATCAACAACGTCCCTGTGACAATGACGAAAGGCAGCACATTCGTAGATTTCCGTAACGTCTTTTGCGCCATATGTAATGGGTTAAACCCTGGGACGGTTACACCATGGGAAACAGTGATACATTGTCATCATAATTTAAGTAAACATACCATAGAGCAAGCTGTACTACAGTCTAATAACTCAGTCGTTGATTCATGTATATTGCAGTTAATCAACCCAAACCATACAAGACAATGCCCTGAACATCAGCCGTATATTGTAAATTCTGAAGTAGGTTCTTTACTTGAACTTGCCCCTCGATCGGACACAATATTTAAAGTTCCAAATTTCCGGCACCTGTTTGACTTTAACGTCTTTACCTCAACACCACATGTCAACGAAATGTGTGGAGAAAATCAAATTTTCGCGCTGTTGTATCAAACGTGTCTAGAAATCACGTGTCCGAAAGGAACGCATCTCATTGGTCGAGAGTGTGCTAGCACTAAGTATGACCAGAACACAAGTGATTTAATGGAAACCTACAACATGTCTCTACCAACACTATCAAGAGAGATCAACGTGTACCTCTGGTTCAAATATCTACTTGACGACCACTGTAAGTACAATGACGAGTGCTGTTTTAGCCAAGCTAATAATAACACAATATTAGAGAGTCGAGTTCAGCAACTGTTACGTAAAAAAATCAGCCGACCAAGTAAAAGACTCACGTTGTCTCTGCAGTATTTCACGTGCGTTTGGACGATGGCGATGATGGAGTCTGGAGCTATAAATAGAACGGAAGCAACACCAACCCTGATAGACGAACTGAATGCGAATTTTAAAAACTCATCGTCTGCTCAATGTTCAGTATTGGAGGTAAATTCTAGTCTTTGTTCAAACATCCCCTTGAAGGGAAATGATACTAATACTAACAAGAAAGGTATGTGTGTGCTTATCAATTTCAACTTGTCCTCTTCAAGTGAGTCTTATAGTATAATTTCTGACATACAAACAAAGATCTTAACAAGACTCAACGACATAGCCCATCAAAATAATTTCCTTATTCATAATGTGACATTAACGAATCAAGATGGGGAGTCAACAACTAGAGATAAAACAGTCTGTACTTCTGGTAGAAAACTAATATTTAAGGAAATGCCACTTTTGACACACGAAAACGGAACTAGCCTTGTCGACTTTAACTTCACAACTCTACCCCTGACAGATTTTATTTTCTACCTTCACTACAGCGGTGACCCCATATCACGTGATAGACATGAAAACAAGGCTACGATTGGTTGGTGCGATGGACCAGTCTTGAAGTGTCCATTCGTCTTTGTAAACAAATCGGACATTGTAGATTTCCAGAATTATCTACTTATAACAAAAAACTCGGAAACAATAAAGTCATATCTACAATCCCACAGTAATACTTCTATTTCTTTAATTACATTAGAAACAATGCTGCATGAGAAGTTTCATGGTAAGATTATATCTATACATAAGCAACAGGATTATGTAATAACGGATGACGGTGCCGATGTGTGTTTTGACGAGCTGGAACTGCCGCAGACGTTGATGCCAACCACTGAAGCGGAACGCGCCGCGACCCTTATCGCATGCGGCATCTCCGTGTC